GCTATTCCCATCAAGCTACCAATGACCTTCTTCACAGACTGGAAAAAACCACTTTAAACTTCATATGGAACCAAAAGAGAGCCCACATAGCCAAGACAATCCTAAGCAAAAAGAACAAAGCTGGAGGCATCACGCTACCTCATTTCAAACTATACTACAAAGCTACAGTAATCAAAACAGCATGGTACTGGTACCAAAACAGATATAGACCAATGGAACAGAACAGAGGCCTCGGAGGCAACGCCACACATCTACAACCATCTGACCTTTGACAAACCTGACAAAAACAAGCAATGGAGAAATGTTTAATAAATGATGTTGGGAAAACTGGCTAGCAGTGTGCAGAAAGCAGAAACTGAACCTGTTCCAGACACCTTACACTAAAGTTAACTCGAGATGAATTAAAGACTTAAACATAAAACGTAACACCATAAAAACCCTAGAAGAAAACCTAGGCAAAACCATTCAGGACATAGGAATAGGCAAGGACTTCGTGGCTTAAAACACCAAAAGCATTGGCAACAAAAGCCAAAATAGACAAATGGGACCTAATTAAACTCCAGAGCTTCTGTACAGCAAAAGAAACAATCATTAGAGTGAACCAGCAACCAAAAGAATGGGGAAAATATTTTGCAATCTATCCATCTGACAAAGGATTAATATCTAGAATCTACAAACAACTAAAACAGATTTACAAGAAAAAAACCCATCAAAAAGTGGGCGAAGGGTATGAACAGACACTTTTGAAAAGAAGACATATATCAGACAACAAACATGAAAAAATGCTCATCATCGCTGATTATTAGAGAAATACAAATCAAAACCACAATGAGATACCACCTCACGCCAGTTAGAATGGTGATCATTAAAAAATCTGGAGACAACAGATGCTGGAAAGGATGTGGAGAAATAGGAACACTTTTACACTGTTAGTGGGAGTATAAACTAGTTCAACCATTGTAGAATATAGTGTGGGACTTCCTGAAGGACCTAGAAATAGAAATTCCATTTGACCCAGCAATCCCGTTGCTGGGTATATACCCAAAGGATTATGAATCATTCTTTCATAAGGACACATGCACGTGTATGTTCATAGCGGCACTCTTTACAAGAGCAAAGACCTGGAACCAACCCAAATGCCCACTGACGATAGACTGGACAAGGAAAATGTGGCACATATACACCATGGAATATTATGCAGCCATAAGAAATGATGAGTTCATGCCCTTTGTAGGGACATGGGTGAATCTGGAAACCATCATTCTCAGCAAACTGACACAAGAACAGAAACCAAACACCGCATGTTCTCACTCATAGGTGGGTGTTGAATAATGAGAACACAAGGACACAGTGAAGGAAGTATCACACACTGGGGTCTGTTGGTGGGGGCCAAGGGAGGGACAGCGGTGGTGGGGGGTAGGGAGGTCAGGGACGGATAACATGAGGAGAAATGCCAGATGTAAGTGACGGAGGGATAGAGGCTGCAAGCCACATTGCCATGTGTGTACCTATGCAACAATCCTGCATGATCTACCCATGTACCCCAGAACCTAAAGTACAATTGAAAAAAAAAAAAAAGCAAAAAAAAGGTCACATCTTAACACATCTGACATTGGAATGGCATTTATTTTTTATAACCATAATTGGTAGCATTTTAAAAATTATCTCATTAGAATAGAAAATATAGAAAACACAATCCATGATGCCTGACATTAAGTAGATTATGTTATACAAAGCAGGTCTAGGGCAGTTCTAGGCATCTAATTGGTACCTAACCACCTTTTAGTTCTTAAAAGTACCATGGAGAAAAAGCACTGAAATAACAACGTATTTTTTTAAAACAAATTACTTCTTACTTTGATTTTTTGAGAAACGTGAAGCCAAAGGAAACTCATTATTGAAATGAATAGGTATGGCTCATTTTAGTCAACACTCAGATTTATAGAACATACGCAAATCAGGATTTCCAATGATTAATATTAGCATTTAAGACTGATAAGTTTTCAAAAGGGCAGTTAAAAGTTATCTTTTACTGTTTTCTACCTTCAGAAATGCTTTTGTTTGAAAGGTGTGAGGAAAAGCTTCAATGACATTAAGTCCTAATATTCCCATTTTAAATCTCTCATCTTGCTCAGGCAGAGCAGGTAAACATGAAGTTTTTAAGTACAGAAGGGTCCTGAGAGATAGTACAATATGTCTGCTACATAGCAGGTATTCCGGTTACGTCTGATCAATAAATGGGAAAAAAAAAAAAAAAAAGAAAGAATGGATACAGTCGGGGAGTTCAATATTTTCAAATATGACTTCTATAAACCAATATTTTTGTGATAGTGATTATATTTGCTATTTCTGTTTTTTGTTGTTGTTGTTTTGTTTTGAGATGGAGTCTTGTTCTGTTGCCCAGGCTGGAGTGCAATGGTGAGATCTTGGCTCACTGCAACCTCTGCCTCCTGGGTTCAAGTGATTCTCCTACCTCAGCTTCCTGAGTAGCTAGGATTACAGATGTCTGTCATCATGCCTGGCTCATTTTTTTTTTTTTTCTTTTTAGGTAGAGACTGGGTTTCACCCTGTTAGCCAGGATGAGGCTCGATCTCCTGACCTCATGATCTGCCCACCTCGGCCTCCTAAAGTGCTGGGATTACAGGCGTAAGCCACCATGCCTGGCCTATATTTGCTATTTGTCATTATTATAAGACTATAATTAAAATCAAATCATTAATCATTGTTTGCATATATGTAATGAATCTATGCATAAGAAAAACACGTACATAATGAAATATATACCTAACAAAATCTGCAACACAGATTAAAAAACATTCCCTTTTTACTTCTAAAGAAGCTAAACGTTCAAGAAGGTAACAACCCACACAATAATGATAATAAACGACAGTGAGAAATTATTTTTATCTGTATAAGATTAATATTTCTCTCTTCCAAGGATTATTCCATTAATAATAAATTTTTACTAGAAGTTTTATAAATGCCCACTGCAGAAATCATAGATAGGAAAAAGGAAAAAAAAAAACTTTACTTAAAATACAAATGCTCAGAAATTACAAATTTCATCCTATTTTGTACATAGTGTTGGCTAACAAAAGACCATAGTATGTTTGTGTGTATGTGCAAGCAAACTGATTTTTTTTCCTCACTGGCTATGACAAAATACATCTTCACGCATCAACATACTTCTATACCTATTGCCACGTTCAATGGTCACATAGACATCTACGGGTTCTTGTTAACATAAATGCTGAGAAAAACAAAGTGCATGTACCTCTATTGCCTAAAGGTATTTGAACGTAATGGAATTGATGGGTAAAGGACAGATACATTTTTTAAATGTGGTAATTACCACCAAATGATCTACTTGAAAAGTCATCAGCAACTTAAACTTTAAGAAGCACTCTAAGTACCACTGCTCTTTATTCTCACAAACATTGAGGATAGAAAACAGTCTCATTCCTCTTTAACTTAAATACTCTTATGAGAAAAACTAAGGATTTTTTCCTATGTACATAAGTAACATGGATCTGCAAAACAGTACTTTGCTCATTTTTAGAGTTCTTTTCTTGTGGATTTGATTTGAAAGAATTCCCTGTAAAATAAAGATGGGCTTTTTAATCTGTGTGTGTGTGTGTGTGTGTGTGTGTGTGTCCCCATATATATATAGACATCTCTCTCTATATATATATATAGAGAGAGAGAGACGTCTATATGGAGACACACACATATATACAACTAATATATATCAAACATGTTAATAATATATACAATTTGTTATAATCAGTAATATATATAATAAAAAATAAATTCCCTGTGGGATGAAGATACACTTTTCATCTGATTAGTAAAAATATGCATATAATAAATACTTTTCAAGTAAGTTATCTTTTGTTAATTTTTTTCTGATACGCAGGGGGTTTTTAATTTTTAGTTTGCTAAATCAACCTTCAGAATGCCTGCTTGTGAGGTCATTCTTAGGAAGGCCTTTGTCAATGTAAAATGTACCTTCATAAATAAGCATGTGCATTTTCTTCTGGTGCTCTTCTCATTTTGCATATGTAAAAGTTTCAATCTGTATTCCATCAGGAACTCATTTTTGTGACATAAAATGTCATTAGTTTTCTTCACACAGCAGGCATTTTATTAATAACTCATCCTTTCCTACTCATCTGAAATGTTACCATTATCAATCCCTACATATATATCTTACATATATTTCAGTGTTTCTGGATTTCCTATTCTGTTCCATGTACTCATCTGTCTTTTCAGCCGTTAGTAAATAATTAATTGTGGGAATTCATAGCACATTTTGATATCTAGAGGAGCAAGTCATTTCACTCCACTATAAAAAAATTTTTAAATATCTAGAGGAGCAAGTCATTTCACTCCATTATAAAAAAATTCTAAATATCTAGAGGAGCAAGTCATTTCACTCCATTAGAAAAAATTAAAAATTTTAAATAGACAGCAGGTGTCATGTAAAAGTGATAAAACTTTGATATTTCCATTTGGTTTTTGTAAAACTGATAAACATAGGAAGAGCTCACATTTTGAGAAAACGGAGTCTTCCCAACCAAGGAACCCATCTCCCACTTCCAAGTTTCCCTCTAAGAAGCCCCAGTAAAGAACCTGTCTACATAAGTGGATTCAGGTGTAAAAGGACACAGGGTTTTCATCTGAGAACTTTTCGCCTACTGAAAATAACTCATGGTATTTTTGGCATGAGAATGATTTCCCATTAGCCACTTCCCTATAACGTATATGACACCATGTTTTAAACGTGTATATGCTTAACTTTGTGAGTTAAATCCCTCGAATTTCCTCCACCAAGTGCTACAGGAGGGGAATCGCCAGCGATGGAAAGCAGCTGAGGCTCCGTTTGGCTCCGCTGCTCCAAGGGAGCCCGGCGTCCTCCAAGGCCCCCGCCCCAGGGACTGCGGGGCTGCGGGGTAGCCGGGCCTGGGGACCCCCTCCCACCCCGGGCTGAGCCCCGCTACCTGCCCTTCCTGTCGCGGGCGTCCACGTCCCGGCTCCGGCGCCTCAGGCAGCGCTCCACCTCCGCGGCGTCGCCCTTGATGGCCGCCCTGTGGATTTTCCGCAGTTCCCCGTCCCGGATGTGGTACCCGGGACCCGCGTACTCGTCGCTGGAGCGCAGGAGCGCCTCGCCCAGGCGTCTCCCGAAGCTGAAGAGCTTCCTCATGGTGGTGACTTCTCAGCCGCCCACCACCCGCTCCTGCCGCCGGGGCTCTCGTGGCCTTTCCACCCCCACCCAGCCCCAAATCCGCGATCCAGCCCCAAATCCACCCCCAAACCCGCGATGTAGCTCAGAATCCGCTATCCAGCCCGGTCCACCACAGCCTTCAGCAGCGACACCCGCAGCCTCCGATCTCTCAGACCGAGTGAACCGGTGAAGCCGTGAGGCGCGCGCCTACGGCTCAGCGCGCGGGACCCCAGAAGCTTCTCCCAAGCCCGCGCGGCGATAGGGGGCGGAGGCAGCTCGGGCGCAGGCGCCGCTGGCTTGCGGGTTCTCCTGGGCTCGCGAGACTTCCCGTGAGCCCACCCGGCCGAGGGCTCGCCTGCCGTAACTCCCGCCGGCTCCTCGGGGCAGCTGGCAGGGGTTAGCCTCAGGTACCCGGGATGGGGCTGAAGGCCGGTTCCCGCCTCGGTGCAGCCGCCGCCGGGCAGACCGCCTGGCTTGGCCACGGCCACTGGCACATCTGGCCCCGGTTGAGATGTTGGAAGTGGGCGGGCTCGGGGGTTGCCTGGAGGCGGCTGCCTGCACTCAGAGGGCGGCTGCAGCTTGGGCGCCCTGGCGGGCTGGAGGGGCATGGCCTGCGCGGCCTCGGGATGGCCAGCGCGCCCAGCCTGAAGGACCTCAGGCCGTGCGTCCCGCCCCACTCCTCCACCGCACGGAGATCAGGGCGCTGCATGGGCACTCGGCAGTCACCCGGGATGGGGTTGAGCGGCAGATTCTCGGCTCTCGCCCTGGTGCAGCCGCCCACCTGGCAGAATGCCTGGCTGGGCCTCAGCCCCCGGGACACCTGGCTCTGGTTCTGCGATGCTGGGAGCGCCCGCGAGCTCGCGAGTTGCCAGGTGGCTGCTGCCTGCACACACAGGGCGACTGCAGCTTGGGCGGCCCAGGCGGCGGAGCAAGGTCGGTGTGGCCTCCGGAATGCGTGCGCACCAGGCCGGAGGGCCCCCCCGATGGTGCCACCCGCCCCGCTCCTCCTCTGCTGGAGCCTGGAGCAGCTGGAGCACTGCAGTCATCGGGGATGGAGTTGAGGTTTTTCTTTACTTTTCTTTTTTCTCTTTTCTTTTTCTTTTTTTGGAGACGGAGTCTCGCTGTCGCCCAGGCTGGAATACGATCTCGGCTCACTGCAACCTCCGCCTCCCAAATTCAAGCGATTCTCCTGCCTCAGCCTCCTGAATAGCTGGGATTACAGGCGTGTGCCACCATGCCCGGCTAATTTTTTGTATTTTTAGTAGAGAGGGGATTTCACCATGTTAGCCAGTATGGTCTGGATCTCCTGACCTCATGATCCACCCGCTTCGGCCTCCCAAAGTGCTGGGATTACAGGCGTGCTCCTCCACGCCTGGCCTGGAGTTGAGTTTTGTTATGCCATGCATGCACACAAAAAGAAAGCTATTAAGTGAGGTTTTTAACATGTTAATTGACTTCATTTTGGTAATTACTTTAGAATGTGGGGATAAATATAAACACATCACACTGTGCACGTTGAATATGTACAATTTTTATTTCTCTATTATACCTGAGTAAAGCTGAAGAAATTAACGGGATTGAAAGGATAAACCCAGTTTATAGTAATAGTTGGACACTACAATACCTCATTTAAATTAATAGATAGAAAAACCAGACAGAAGCTTCATGAGAAATAGGCTTACAACAGTACAAGCCATTTAGAGATAATACACATACGCAGAACAGTCCACCCAAAAACAGCAGAATAGATATTCTTTTCAAGTAGATTTGGAACGTTCTCTAGGATAGGCCGTATTTTCATCCCCTAAATATGTCCTAATTATTTTTGAAAGTTTGAAATCATACAAAATATAATTTAAAACCACAATGGAAGAAATGACATAAATAAAAATATGAAAACTGGAATATTCACAAATATGAGGAAATTTATATACTCATTTTTAATTTTTTTAAATTTTTTTATTGCATTTTAGGTTTTGGGGTACATGTGAAGAACATGGAAGATTGTTGCATAGGTACACAAATGGCAGTGTGATTTGCTGCCTTCCTCCCCTTCACCTATATCTGGCATTTCTCCCCATGCTCTCTCTCCCCAACTCCCCAACCCCCACTGTCCCTCTCTCATTTCCCCCCAACAGGCTCCAGTGTGTAGTGCTCCCCTCCCTGTGTCCATGTGTTCTCATTGTTCAACACCCACCTATGAGTGAGACCATGTGGTGTTTGATTTTCTGCTCTTGTGTCAGTTTGCTGAGAATGATGGTTTCCAGGTTCATCCCTGTCCCTACAAAGGACACGAACTCATCATTTTTGATGGCTGCATAATATTCCATGGTGTATATGTGCCACATTTTCCCTGTCCAGTCTGTCATCGATGGGCATTTGGGTTGGTTCCAGGTCTTTGCTGTTGTAAACAGTGCTGCAATGAACATTCTTGTGCATGTGTCCTTATAGTAGAATGATTTATAATCCTTTGGATATATACCCAGTAATGGAATTGCTGGGTCAAATGGAATTTCTATTTCTAGGTCCTTGAGGAATCGCCACACTGTCTTCCACAATGGTTGAACTAATTTACACTCCCACCAACAGTGTAAAAGTGTTCCTATTTCTCCACATCCTCTCCAGCATCTGTTGTCTCTAGATTTTTTAATGATTGCCAATCTAACTGGTGTGAGATGGTATCTCAATGTAGTTTTGATTTGCGTTTCTCTAATGACCAGTGATGATGAGCATTTTTTTCATATGTTTGTTGGCCTCATGTATGTCTTCTTTTGTAAAGTGTCTATACATATCCTTCGCCCACTTTTGAATGGGCTTGTTTTTTTCTTGTGAATCTTTTTTGGTGCTTTGTAAATTCTGGATATCAGTCCTTTGTAAGATGGGTAGACTGCAAAATTTTTTTCCCATTCTGTTGGTTGCCAATTCACTCTAATGACTGTTTCTTTTGCTGTGCAGAAGCTGTGGAGTTTGATTAGGTCCCATTTGTCTATTTTGGCTTTTGTTGCCAATGCTTTTGGTGTTTTGGTCATGAAGTCCTTGCCTACACCTATGTCCTGACTGGTTTTGCCTAGATTTTCTTTTAGGGTTTTTATGGTGTTAGGTCTCATGTTTAAGGCTTTAATCCATCTGGAGTTAATTTTAGTGTAAGGTGTCAGGAAGGAATCCAGTTTCTGCGTTCTGCACATGGCTAGCCAGTTTTCCCAACACCATTTATTAAACAGGGAATCCTTTCACCATTGCTTGTTTCTGTCAGGTTTGTCAAAGATCAGATGGTTGTAGATACGTTGTGTTGCCTCCGAGGCATCTGTTCTGCTGCATTGGTCTAGATCTCTGTTTTGGTACCAGTACCATGCTGTTTTGATTACTGTAGCCTTGTAGTATAGTTTGAAGTCCGGTAGTGTGATGCCTCTCGCTTTGTTCTTTTTGCTTAGAATTGACTTGGCTATGTGGGCTCTCTTTTGGTTCCATAGGAATTTTAAGGTGTTTTTTTCCAGTTCTGTGATGAAGGTCATTGGTAGCTTGATGGGGATAGCATTGAATCTGTAAATTACTTTGGGCAGTATGGCCATTTTCACAACATTGATTCTTCCTAACCATGAACATGGAATGTTTCTTCATCTGTTTGTGTCCTCTCTTATTTCATTGAGCAGTGGCTTGTAGTTCTCCTTGAAGAGGTCCTTTAAGTTCCTTGTTAGTTGTATTCCTAGGTACTTTATCCTCTTTATAGCAATTGTGAATGGTAGTTCATTCTTGATTTGGCTCTCTTTAAGTCTGTTATTGGTGTATAGGAATGCTTGTGATTTTTGCACATTGATTTTGTATGCTGAGACTTTGCTGAAGTTGCTTATCAGTTTCAGGAGATTTTGGGCTCAGACAATGGGGTCCTCCAGATATATAATCATGTCATCTGCAAATAGAGACAATTTGACTTCCTCCTTTCCTATTTGAATACCCTTTATTTCTTTTTCTTGCCTGATTGCTCTGGCTAGAACTTCCAGTACTATATTGAATAGGAGTGGTGAGAGAGGGCATCCTTGTCTAGTGCCAGATTTCAAAGGGAATGTTTCCACCTTTTTGCCCATTCAGTATGATATTGGCTGTTGGTTTGTCGTAAATAGCTTTTATTATTTTGAGATACCTTCTGTCAATACCTAGTTTATTGAGGGTTTTTAGCATAAAGGGCTGTTGGATTTTGTCGAAGGCCTTCTCTGCATCAGTTGAGATAATCATGTGATTTTTGTCTATGGTTCTGTTTATGTAGTGAATTACATTTATGGACTTGCATATGTTGAACCAGCCTTGCATCCCTGGGATGAAGCCTACTTGATCATGGTGGATAAGCTTTTTGATATGCTGTTGCAATTGGCTTGCAGGTATTTTATTGAAGACTTTTGCATCTATGTTCATCATGGATATTGGCCTGAAGTTTTCTTTTCTTGTTGAGTCTCTGCCGGGTTTTGGTATCAGGATGATGTTTGTCTCATAAAATGATTTGGGAAGGATTCCCTCTTTTTGGATTATTTGGAATAGTTTCAGAAGGAATGGTACCAGCTCCTCTTTGTATGTCTGGTAGAATTCAGCTGTGAACCCATCTGGACTTGGGCTTTTTTTGGGTGGTAGGCTCTTAATTGCTGCCTCAGCTTCACACCTTGTTATTGGTCTATTCAGGGTTGCAACTTCTTCCTGGTTTAGGCTTGGGGGGAGGCAAGTGTCCAGCAATTTATCCATTTCTTCCAAGTTTATTAGTTTATAGGCATAGAGTTGTTTGTAATAATATCTGATGATGGTTTGAATTTCTGTGGAATCTGTGGTGATATCCCCTTTATTGTTTTTTATTGCATCAATTTGGTTATTCTCTTTTTCTTTTTTATTAATCTGGCTAGTGGTCTGTCTATTTTGTTGATCTTTTCAAAAAACCAGCTCCTGGATTTATTGATTTTTTGAAGGGTTTTTTGTGTCTCTATCTCCTTCAGTTCTGCTCTGATCTTAGTTATTTGTCTTCTGCTAGGTTTTGAGTTTTTTTGATCTTGCT